ATTTTATGTACTCATAAAATTGAATACAATGTTAGTCATCACTTCTTCCTTGCTTTCATTCTTTTAGACTCGGCCATAGACGGGATAAAGAACATATTGTATCAGTCTCTTTGGTATCAGTATTATATTTTCTATTTGTTACATTATTTATTTATGTCGTATAATATGTCTGACTTAATGCCAAAGGGCATTCTACTCCCAGCCCAACCATAAATCCACGCTGAGATAGATATTAAAGAAGCGGTGCAGAAAAAATCGAAAAGATTATATTCACAAATACGAGTACTTATGTCAGAATAAATATGAATATATATATATATATATATATATATATATATATATATATATATATATATATATATGATAATAGCATTAGTTCTTACTTGTAACGATTTTTTAACATGCTTGCGGACTTTATTTTAAAAGCAAACTTGTTGGAAGCTCTTTTTTTAAGTCGAGAAGGATATCGTTCCAAAGTCTGTTGGCAATAAAGGCGAAATAGTACGGATTAATGGCGTAAGCAACAAAAAATGATAAAACAGAGTGAACAATTATGTTAATTTCCCAAGTATTAAAATTTAATTTGCAAGTGTTCGGGATCACATGGATCGTTGAGAATTAAGGCAAGGGTGCAGAGTATTCTCACATATCTGCGCTGACCGCAAGGTTACAGTAGTTTAACGACTTCCCTCCTGTATTTATTATATGTAAAATCAACATACAGACAGGGATTCTTTACATGGGGAGAGAATGTTTTATTGTTATTAAACATGATGGAATGATGGATGGTAAGGTGGGAATATCTAATTTAGATAAGTATCTTGAACCATCTAAGATTATTGATTGGCATTTAGAGGGGATCACGATAATGCTATACGCATTGGACCATTTATTTATTTATTTAGATACTTAGAATACACCATCGACAATATCAATATGAATTGTTACTAGAGACTAATGATGTCTTTACAGGTGTATACATCATTATAAGAAAAACTAAACAACATAGATATATAAACTATAAAACAAACAGAAATTAATCTAATTAAAATAAAAGCAACACATCCAGTAATAATTACAATCTTCAGTTTAGAATTTAATCGGGCAAGGTTAGTGATAGTAAGTCTACATTTTCTTTTAAATACACGTTTGGGGTCGCTAAAGATATCGACTTTATAATTATTTAAGCTGTTGTAAGTTCGCATACATCTGCTTAAAGAAGAAATTCATTCAGAGATGTACTGCAACTAGGCGTTTAATAATGAAATTGCATTTCATTTTTGCACAACATGCAGTTCCATTTGTGCATATAACTATATATATGTAGATCACTTGATATAAATGGATCGCCTTAGGAACATCAGTTGAGACATCACTCCACTCAGGTAGATTATAACCAGTACGCACGGGCTGTTGGCGCAATCGAAGATATGATGAGAACCATTCCTTAGCCTAAGATGAGATATTCAAATGAGAAAGAAGAGTTAGTAAGATATAATTATCAACAGAAATAAATGCGTTAGAAATATCTATTAAGATAAGATTGGTCAGTTTGAAGTTTTTCATACGCTCACGGATATCTTCAGTCAGTAGAAGGCAGAAGGGCATAATAATAATAATAATAAAAAAATATAAATTACTAATTGTAGGTATCATGGGGTGAAAATCGATCAAATCCGCAAAAATTTCAAAAAGGCAATCCCGAGCAAAGATTATTTATATAATCACTACTTTTCTACAGACTTCAAAAAGAAGGAGGTACTCAATTCTTCTTTCAACTTTTTTATTTTATTTATTTACTCATAACTTTTTTCTGGCTGAACCGATTTTGATGATTATTTTGTTATTTGAAAGCTGATGCTTCTCATGTGGTCCCATATAAAGTCGATCAAGATTTGACCAGTAGTTTTTGAGTTATTCTTAATAATTTATATTGTAGTCGGTTGTACAAAATTTTAAATTATTAATACCGAGTTCAAACTTAAACTTTACAATGTCAACATTTGTATAACATAAATAATATAATAAATAGGTCTAAGCAGTCATTTTGACATTGTGAAGTTTTAATTCAAAACTGAGACTAGACTGAGAGAATATGGCCATTCGGGAAAACCATCTAGCCTAAACTCAAATATCCACAATGTCAAAATTTTGACATTGTGGATATTGAGTATATATACATAATTGAAATTGTGGAGATTAAACTCCAGATTGTCTCTGAATAACCGGCCTTAGTGTTGCTCGTAAAAAGTACTGCGAAATAAAGTACTCTCATCAAATGGTAATCAAAATCTTTGGCACTTTCTAAAAAACTCACGTCACTATTTTCGTTTCGTGCAAATTTCAATGTTTCGTGAACAATTTGCCTTTTAAATTGACGTTCAAAAGAAAGCTAAATACTACTGTCATCGTCGTCACTACCAGTACGTAGTACTAGTACTATTATTTAATCTGTGCTACTGGTGTGTTGGTAATCATGTAATTTCTGAACGACTTAATCGATTGAGGTCATATTCACACAATATATTTGTTTTAATAGGTTCGCTAGGATCTGATAGGTGGCGTACAGCGGCAAGTTGACGGCACCATGGCGCAGTGGCTTAGGGCCGCAGATTCGAATCCCGCACGTAACTAGATTTTGTATGGCCTACAAATAATTGTTCCGTGTCTGGATGTTTGTCCTTGTGTTGTAAAATATATGTCTGTAAACTGTCCCCATGATACTCGAGAAAATGTAGTGTGTGACGTAACGTATAAAACGTTTAACGTGTTTATTTTTGGACCAAATTATTAATGTTCACAATATATATTGATTTAGTGCTATAAAAGAAAATTACGAAATCTGAACTCGATTGGTCGCCATATTGTCGAGTTATTAATATATTTTTAATATTTTAAATTTACACAGTAAAAAGCACATGTGAAAAAGTCCGAAGTGAATTCTAAGTGAAACTCGTGCACCACCTACCGGATATAGCAGATCAAGGTCTGCCAAACCAACTTATAAATTAGAATTACCTTGTACCTTATAAATTTATCAAAGAACGATTCGATTGAGCCAATAACAATAGGTGTAATGAATACAGTGTGATTTCAAACATTTTTGGATAAGTCTGTGTGCTAGTAAACGTATGTACTTATAGTACCTATAGTATGTAATGTATGCGAAAGATCATATTTGTATTAGTGTCGCTCGCGAGTAATTTTATTATGATTGGATTTCATGGGTTTTTTTATGCACGGAACCCTAATTCTCTTTTTGATGTAATAGTAGCCTAAGTTACTCCTCATAAGATCATCTATCTGCTAGTGAAAGTCCCGTTAAAATCGGTCCAGCCATTTCGGAGATTATCTGGAACAAACAGACAGACAATAACAAGTGTTTTTGTTATAAGTACCGTATATACTTTTACATGCATTTAGTAAAAAGTTGTTATTTTGACATTACAAACTGACACTTCAATTTTATTTATTTGTATGGATTGCTAACTCTTGTGAGTGGATAACAGAAGTATACAGGCGGCAACCTCGTGTCTTATTAAGTAGGTAACTGGTTGTTGTGGCTCCTATGGTGATATCTTATTCCTTCCATTACTGCCCATAAAAGTCCACTGCTGAACATAGGTCTTCCCCATAGATTGCCTTTAAATTACGAACGCTATGAATCAGAAAAAATAGATTTTTTTTTATTTTAATATTTTAATAAATAGCTATCACTTCGCGAGTGTGATTGTGGTTTGGCGGGGTTTCCTATGACGGGGGCCTTTTTGCCGGCAAGTCGTCAAAATCGAGGCACAAAATTATCCGAGCCACATCTTGCGGCAGCCGTAGTTAAAACGATAAGTGTTATGCTATTTGACGATAAATACTAGGTTTTTCTACACCGTCCCATTGCTTAACTTACTCGTTACACGTTGCTTGGACACCAATTTGACAGGCTTCATTTGCAGCGAAGATTTGCCGCGTCGTTGAGGCCCGACTTAATCCCCTGGGTATAATTAAGAGCGTGCAGAAAGTCTCACCCAAACCTGGATACCCTCAAGTGAGCTTAAGTCAAAGAATTGAAACGGATTCCAATAGAAAAGACTCATGCCGCCACCGGAGAATGGTTATTAATTATTAGGTTATAATTAACGGTATTTTGTAAAAAAAATAATATTATGAACTAGGGGGCATTAGAATTCCACACATCGATCGCGAAGCGAATATTTTTATACGTGGTAGAGCCATGTAGCAGCTATATTAGTAGTATAGTTGTAGCACGAATGGGTCGGCTCGACCGGGGAAGGACCACGCTCTCACAGAATACCAGCGTAAAATAGCAGCTTAACACTGCTGTGTTTCGTATGGTGAGTGTAGAGAACCGGAGACCCTTTTTACTGGAAAAGAGGCATTTCATCTTAGTCCTCACGGGTGACAACGCATCTGCATTTTGATTCGTAATTGAGGATAGATGTAGATCTATGAGTCACAGCCTCCACTTACCATCAGGTGGACTGTGTGCTCGTTTGTCACCCTACCCTATAAAAAAATGTAGTGCTCTATTGTCACCAAATCAAAAAATCGCGATCCACTCAACTTAAATCAGTTCCACCAGCTTTATATTGCACTTATATAATAAAAAAGTACACCAATAGCAAGAGCAGATTTCAATTAATACTATTGATGAAGTTTTAAGATTATTTATTTCGATTATTATTAAAAAAAATTAATTGAAAAGAATTCCACTTGGACTCAGTTGGTCGGTATGGACGTGTGAACAAGATATCTTTCGAAAAAGTGAACTTATCACTTTGTTTTTTTTTTATTAGCTTTAGATTTTAATCCTTAGGAAACCTTTTGAATGTAACTTTTGTAAACCGTCCCTTTAGAGGTGTACACTTTTGGTTTTCCAAATTTTTTTTCTGCTGAAGAGCCAAGGGCTAGTCCAGGGAAAGTTAGAATCGCCTGCCTTATTTTGCGTAGTTGACTTAAATTAAATTACTTTTTTATTGTTGTAGATGAGCGGAAAGCGAACCCGCAGCTATAGATGTGCAGTACACCATCGAGATCGCGAGGTCAGTTCCGAAAACGACTTCCATCTACTTCTTGAAGATCCTACCTTCTTTGCCAGGTAACTGTTATATTTTTATTATTATATTTTTCTCCATCAGACCATAAAAGACAAAAGGAACTTGTGTCAACTACTGGATACGAGCTTCTTTCGTTGTAAACAAGAATTGTCTATTCCACAATTAACAATCTCATCATCAAGAAGACGCCGTCACAGGTTTGGGTGTATCTATTTTATGTTACTGACGTAACGAGGTGGTTATGCCGCCATGTCTTTGGAAGTCTCGAAAATCTTTTTAACTTTACCCATGGTGTACAATTTACGACACGCATGAAACTGAGTTTTAGTTTAGATAGTAAATATTATAGCCAACTGCCAAATATGTACTGGACACAACTATTCACGTGTAGATTAACTTAATCGCCCAAAACCTCTTGTCAAATTTTGTGGCCGTGGAAGGAAAAGGGTCAAGGAGCTGTCCTATATATTATGTATAGCGCGTTAACTGCAGAACTTTGATAGCGCGATTTACGCTTCGGTGCGTTTCGCTTGCGGCGCGACGTCAGCGCCGCCACACTTTAGCCACAAATATTACACTAGTTTTAATATCATGAATGGACAGATTGAAACAACTTTTCTTGGCAACATATTTAATTAATGCAACAAATCATAGTCTGGTACGTCGACGGCCCGTTTTGCTTTATGCAACAAATACGTTTGAATAAAAAAGTGAAATTATCAGAAACAGACTTAGGATAATCAAAAGTAAGATTAAGTAAAAAAGTAGATTTCTCGACTATATTTTTTCATTTATCATTTTAATATGTTATTTACGTTGTTTCATATCATATTAATTTAATGATACTAATTATATGTATGAAAACACATTTCATTTTTTGCTCATTTCTGAAGTAAATTAAAATTTAGTAAAAAGTTCTAATATACTAAATTATTTTCCTAACAGTACCTACAATCTGGTAAGCCGTGGCGATTTACGTCATTTTGTAAATTCCTTGTAATGTTTTAATTCATACAAATTTTTCGTCTAATAAAATCAACATGTAATTTTTGGTATAATATATCACAAAATCTTTGAGTGTATTCATCACGTCCATTTCATGATTCGTATCTATTTAAATGCGCTAAATTTTTATGATTATTTTGTCGTGTCACGGTGACATGTGTTGTGGTAAACGATAAAATTGTTTAGAAATTTCTTCAACACGGGCTAAATAAGTAAGTATATCTCATTAAAGTAATTTCATTAAATACGATTTGCAACGAACGCTTGCGAAAATCTTATTATTATAATTCCACTATTGTTTAAACGGCGGTTGCTGTATTAGAAAATATTAATCTTGAAATTAATTTCGAGCTGAGCTGCAAGATGCAATAGAACTGTCTATCCCCCGGGCTTAAAGTAGAACATTGATGAAATGATTTTTCACACGACGATCCACAAACAATAAAGTGACATTTTTTAACCAACAGATTTCCAACAGGGCTCTTGGGACTTTGGTATTAATACATACATAATATAATGTTCCTTTACGTGGTAGAGCCATGCTGCAACTATATTACTGATACAGTTGTAACACGAATGTGTCGGCTCGACCGGTGAAGGACAACGCTCTCACAGAATACCAGCGTAAGATAGCAGCTTAACGCTGTTGTTTTTCGTATTGTAGAGTACCGGAGACCCTTTTTACTGGAAGCGAAGCATCCCATCTTGGTTCTCACTGGTGACAGCGCATCTGCATTTTGGCCACGGCGGCCACTTACCATCGGGTGAACTGTGTGCTTGTTTGTCACCATTGTCTTATAAAAAAAAATGTTAATTATATTTCTTAGATTATATTGATTTTATTATATTTATTTTTATAATATTGTAGTTTATCTTTTTGTATGTTTTTATAGGATGGTTCATTTGGTTGCGATGGAGGTGCTCCCGGAAGAGCGGGATCGCAAGTACTACCAGGAGCGGTATACTTGCTGTCCTCCGCCGTTATTTATTATCTGTGTCACGCTTTTAGAGGTAAATACACATTGTTTTTTTTTTCAACACAATTGTTGTTTTTTTTTTGCTTAAATAAAAACCTTTGTTTTCATCCAACAAATGTCCTTGAAAAAAAACCTTCGCTCTTTTTAAAACAGTTTCACAAAAGCAAGAAACAATAGCTGATTGCAAGATGTCTTTCAACATATTCACAACTGTAGTAGTAGGGAAATAGATAAATCGTACACTTTCGCCATACCCATTCAAAAGTAAATATCTACTTTGTCTGCTGAAAATCAAAAACGCCCGCAGTTATTCATGACCTCTTTAAATGCGAAAAACTGTCTGTTAGAACAGTGCATCACTTTCTACGCGCCTAATACCGCTGCGCTGTTCGATCCCCGCTCCAGTTGCCTCGGTTAATTAAAAAGTGTAATTGCGGGTTTCACATCGCTGCAAACGAGCGGTTTTACGTGAATCACAACAAACGTTCCGCAGTTTCGACCAGCTCGCCGTCACACGTTGTTTCATTGTAACAAGACAATTCACGTAAGGTGCGTCTCGCTGTAGAGATAGACCACACAACGGTTTTTCCCGTAATGAATAATGTTTTTAAATTTGCTATGCATAACTAACAAAAAAATTCAGTCCATTTTGATTTCATTTTAAAATCTCGTTTTTTTTAGGCAACGTAGTTTGAACTAGTGTAACTATCTATGGTTGTTAGACATGACACTAAAGTACAATGTCGAAAAAACTTTAAACATCGAAGATAAGTACTAAGTACATATAAACCCAAATTTACTACTCTCCAATATTTGGGTTCGTCTGAATGTTTCTTAGATAAGATGTTATTCTGCAAATTTTCGACAAATGAGATTTCATAGGCATACTAGCTCGCCAGGCAGAAGTTGTTCTGCCCTTTCCAACGACCCTTCCTATAAAAATCATGAAAATTCGCAATAAAAAATTTTGAGGGTCATTTATTGGGATAAAAACTATCCTATCTCTCAAATTGGACCAAAATGCACACAGTGTGCAAAATTTCATTGAAATCAGTTCAGTAGCTTAGGGGTCCATCACGGACAAACAACGTGACACGTAATTTTTATATATAAAGATTTTCTCTCTATATTCTCTTAGAAATTAGGGAGTCCTGTGCCCAGCATTGCTAAACACAGAGGCGCTTACCAATCTATCCGTATCCTTGGTATCGTTTTTGCAATAAGATCGGAGCTCAGCTAGGATTCAAAGTCAGAGGAAATATTCACAGCACAACCAAATCCGAAACCTAACTGGTTTTGTTCTTGCAAATGTACACACGGGCTGGGATTCCAATCCAGAACTCACAGCGCAATAGTCAGAAGCTAAGACCACCAGGTTACGCATTAGTCTGAAACTATTATCGTTTTGCGTAAAGAATTGCCTATGATCGTAACAAAATGTGTCCACAGCTGGGCGTGTTCGCGTGGTACGCGTGGGGCTCCGGCGGCGTGGCGGCGGCAGCCGGCCCGGTGCCGGTGGACTCGCCGCTTGTGTACCGGCCCGACCGCCGCCGCGAGCTCTGGCGCTTCCTCACCTACAGCGTCGTACACGCCGGCTGGCTGCATCTCGCGTTCAACCTGCTCGTACAACTCGCGGTAAGCATCTGCTCTTTATTTATGCTCGCCTGGTACTGTATTTCGTATGTCTTTGGGTGTGTTCCGATATACACTGCTAGCACTGCTCAGTACTCCCACTGGTGAAAAATTCGTTACGTTATGAACTGCCAGTATACTGCCTCAGTACCTTAGGGAAATATATGACGTCATAAATCGGCGCCATTTTTGTACTGTGTGCACCGGCGCTTTCGAGGTAAAGTGCATCAAAAAACATAACAGCGCCCAGAGATTTAACAGCTTCTACGAATGATTGTTATTATTATTATTATTATTATTAATTACTATTGTTATTCAAATAAACTCGGATATTAAGTTTTAAAAGCAACAAAATTCAAATAATAATTTTTCTTGTTGAACAGAGAACGTGTACTTGATAAATATTTCATAATGATTTCTTATATTTACGCGAACACTACACATTGAATAAAACTATTTTTACGGATTTTATCGCGTTTAATTTACTTATTTTTATATTCCCGACGTTTCGGTTGCTTTCCAGCAACCGTGGTCACGGGGGACTGAGGTGATTGACGTCCCGATGTCAAAGTTAACCCGGAGTACCTTCAGCTTTTTAATTATTAATTTTGGTCCGATCTACGCAGAATGAACTAACTGTGTCTTGAAGTCTTACAGTGGTATGCTTGGGTTTAGTTTTAATTTTATGAATTACAGGATCCCAAGCAGGTGGTAGTACCCAGCCTCCCTCTCTATTGAAATTAGGATGTTTTTTAATTTCAATAGCCTCACGTATCATCCTTGGCAGGAATCGATGTTCTTTCGCGAGGACTTGTGGTTTATCAAATCTAATGTAATGACGGGGGCCGTCTAGGATATGATCACAAACTGCAGACTTCCCGGAACGTTGGTGCTTCACGTCAGCTATGTGTTCTTTTACGCGGGTTTTTATTGATCGTTTTGTTTGCCCTATATATGAGAGACCACACTCACAATCAAGCTTGTATACTCCTGCATCTTGTAGAGGAATATTGCACTTGACGGATGGTAAGAACTGACTAATCTTCTTCGGCGGCTTGAAGAATGTTCTAATAGAAGCTCGCTTCAAGATGTAGCCAATCTTGTCTGTGACACCTCTGACATATGGTAGTACAGCAGGCACACGCTCGACTGTGGCCGGCTTCACTCGGTCACTGTGACGTAGGCGCGGAACCCGAAGCTTGTTGTCGTGCAGAACCTGCTTGACGTGCTGAAGCTCGGCGGCCAGGTGTTTGCTGTCACAGATCCCTCGTGCTCTCTGCAACAAAGATTTGCCCACGGTAGCTAACTGTGAAGGGTGATGGTGGGATTCACCGTTTAAGTATCGGTTTGTATGGGTCTTTTTTCTATACACAGTGTGACCTACGGTGTTATTAGGATTTCGAATGACTAACACATCTAGGAAAGCTAAAGAATTATTTGCCTCTAACTCCATAGTAAATTGAATTTTAGAGTTTATGGAATTAAGATGTTCTAAAAATGCAGTTACTTTGTCTGATGGTAAAATTGTGAAAGTATCGTCTACGTACCGCTTGTAGAAACTTGGAGTTACTGGTGCACTAAGCAGGGCTTTCTCCTCAAAGTCCTCCATGAAAATATCGGCGACAATGGGAGATACCGGTGAGCCCATCGCAACACCATCTACTTGCTTGTAAAACTGTTCCTTCCACAATAGGTAGCCAGATGTAAGGCAATGTCTGAGTAATACTGCATATTCTGCTGGCATGTTGTTTTCCTCTAGTTTCCTAGTTATAATTGAGATGCAGTCTTCAACAGGTAGGCATGTAAATAGAGACTGAACATCAAAACTGACCATAGTTTCATTGTCAGTAAGACATAGGTCTTTTATCTCACTGACAAAATGGTATGAATCCTTAGTGTGTGCTCTTGTATGTCCTCTGAGTGGTGATAGTACTTTTGCTAAGTGTTGAGCCAATCTGTAAGTTGGCGAATCGATCTGACTCACTATTGGACGTAATGGAGCGTTCGGTTTGTGTATTTTTGGTAACCCATACAACTTCGGCGGTTTGGCACACGTAGGTATTATCGAATTTACGTCTAGATTCAGTTTCTCGGAGTATTTCTTTATTAGATCGCTAGTTGTTTTAAGCGTATTAGTTGTAGGATCTGTTTTGACCTTTACGTACGTACTTTCATCCGATAAAAGTTGTTGTATTTTAAAATTGTAATCAGACGTATCCATTATAACCGTAGCATTACCTTTATCTGCGCGGAGAATCGTAAGATCTGGTCTGTTGCGTAAGTTTTTCAATGCAGTAAATTCATCTTTGGGAAGATTTAATTTTGGCGCTGAGCTTCGACGTAACAAGGACGAAATGTCTTGACGTATAGCCTCTAAATCTTCTTTACCAATATTATTTTTATACAGACAGTCCTCAACACTACAGATAATGTTTTCATACGGAATTTTTCGCGGTGTTATAGCGAAATTCATACCTTTGGCCAAAACTTTTATCGTCGCGTCGTCTAGAGATTGTTTTGACAGGTTATAGACCGCACGTTGTTTATTACTCGCGTCTGTTGTCAATGATTGCGTTCCGTTATTACGTTGACATTGGCGTTGGACATTTGATTTGGTTGTTAGTTTTTGGTATTTATCTATATGTTTATTTTTGCATTCATTGTATTTAGTTGTTTCACGTTTGTCTAAAGTTTCCATGCAATTCTTATAATCAAATGTCGATAAAACTGTCTTTAGATCACTGGACGATTTGTCTATGGTTTTATTAATGAAACATAGATCGGTACGTTTTTGCTGAATCACCGTTATTAACAATTTTTTGCTTGCCTGATTTAAGATCTTAGCGCTTCCTCGAATGTCTTTTTTAGTAGATATCTTGACACACGTAGGAATGAGATTATGGTCTCTGCATCTCTTCAAGAAGTTTAAAGCTGTTATGTATCTTGCGCGCTTGGTTTTGAGATCTTCTAGTCGGCGTATTTTATTTGCTATTTCCAGTCCGTACTGGTTTACATAATGATTTCTTATATTTACGCGAACACTACACATTGAATAAAACTATTTTTACGGATTTTATCGCGTTTAATTTACTTATTTTTATATTCCCGACGTTTCGGTTGCTTTCCAGCAACCGTGGTCACGGGGGACTGAGGTGATTGACGTCCCGATGTCAAAGTTAACCCGGAGTACCTTCAGCTTTTTAATTATTAATTTTGGTCCGATCTACGCAGAATGAACTAACTGTGTCTTGAAGTCTTACAGTGGTATGCTTGGGTTTAGTTTTAATTTTATGAATTACAGGATCCCAAGCAGGTGGTAGTACCCAGCCTCCCTCTCTATTGAAATTATAAGAATTGCATGGAAACTTTAGACAAACGTGAAACAACTAAATACAATGAATGCAAAAATAAACATATAGATAAATACCAAAAACTAACAACCAAATCAAATGTCCAACGCCAATGTCAACGTAATAACGGAACGCAATCATTGACAACAGACGCGAGTAATAAACAACGTGCGGTCTATAACCTGTCAAAACAATCTCTAGACGACGCGACGATAAAAGTTTTGGCCAAAGGTATGAATTTCGCTATAACACCGCGAAAAATTCCGTATGAAAACATTATCTGTAGTGTTGAGGACTGTCTGTATAAAAATAATATTGGTAAAGAAGATTTAGAGGCTATACGTCAAGACATTTCGTCCTTGTTACGTCGAAGCTCAGCGCCAAAATTAAATCTTCCCAAAGATGAATTTACTGCATTGAAAAACTTACGCAACAGACCAGATCTTACGATTCTCCGCGCAGATAAAGGTAATGCTACGGTTATAATGGATACGTCTGATTACAATTTTAAAATACAACAACTTTTATCGGATGAAAGTACGTACGTAAAGGTCAAAACAGATCCTACAACTAATACGCTTAAAACAACTAGCGATCTAATAAAGAAATACTCCGAGAAACTGAATCTAGACGTAAATTCGATAATACCTACGTGTGCCAAACCGCCGAAGTTGTATGGGTTACCAAAAATACACAAACCGAACGCTCCATTACGTCCAATAGTGAGTCAGATCGATTCGCCAACTTACAGATTGGCTCAACACTTAGCAAAAGTACTATCACCACTCAGAGGACATACAAGAGCACACACTAAGGATTCATACCATTTTGTCAGTGAGATAAAAGACCTATGTCTTACTGACAATGAAACTATGGTCAGTTTTGATGTTCAGTCTCTATTTACATGCCTACCTGTTGAAGACTGCATCTCAATTATAACTAGGAAACTAGAGGAAAACAACATGCCAGCAGAATATGCAGTATTACTCAGACATTGCCTTACATCTGGCTACCTATTGTGGAAGGAACAGTTTTACAAGCAAGTAGATGGTGTTGCGATGGGCTCACCGGTATCTCCCATTGTCGCCGATATTTTCATGGAGGACTTTGAGGAGAAAGCCCTGCTTAGTGCACCAGTAACTCCAAGTTTCTACAAGCGGTACGTAGACGATACTTTCACAATTTTACCATCAGACAAAGTAACTGCATTTTTAGAACATCTTAATTCCATAAACTCTAAAATTCAATTTACTATGGAGTTAGAGGCAAATAATTCTTTAGCTTTCCTAGATGTGTTAGTCATTCGAAATCCTAATAACACCGTAGGTCACACTGTGTATAGAAAAAAGACCCATACAAACCGATACTTAAACGGTGAATCCCACCATCACCCTTCACAGTTAGCTACCGTGGGCAAATCTTTGTTGCAGAGAGCACGAGGGATCTGTGACAGCAAACACCTGGCCGCCGAGCTTCAGCACGTCAAGCAGGTTCTGCACGACAACAAGCTTCGGGTTCCGCGCCTACGTCACAGTGACCGAGTGAAGCCGGCCACAGTCGAGCGTGTGCCTGCTGTACTACCATATGTCAGAGGTGTCACAGACAAGATTGGCTACATCTTGAAGCGAGCTTCTATTAGAACATTCTTCAAGC